TCATCAAAAGGCAGCAGAAGAAGATGCTGACAGTGACCTGTGCGTCCTGAGTGTTGCAGTGCTGGGCTTTGGGAGGTGGGCAGGGACTGACAGGGCCTCTGCTGCTCACACAAATGGCTAAAACCCTTCCTCTCAGGACATTCCCCAGACATCTCGAGGATGAGAAAACCAGTAGGTGCTCTCTCTGTCACAGATTTCAGGGTTACTTGAAAGCTGCCCAGGTCAGCCAGGCTGTGCTCTGCTGCCAGCCCCGAGGAGCACGTTTTCCATCCCTGCAGGAGGTTTGAGGCTCTTGCTGTGAGTCTGTAACCTGCTTGTAACTACAGATTCCTGGCCAGAGGGAGGGTACGTGGCACACAAAGTCCTCCCTGGTGCCTGCTCTCCCTGCAGTGCCCTGTGGAGGTTCTAATTCTGGGTATTGGGCTGTTTTTTTTCCAGTGGTCTCCAGGGCAGCCCCCAGGGAATCTCCCCAGCAGTGGTGTGAAGCACACCAAGGGTTCCTGGGTGGCTCTGCAGGACATGGCCCCTCTGAGTGAGGCTGATCCTTTCACTTGCATTTTTGGGGTGTGGGCAGCACGTTGACCCTGCCCGAGCTGTCCTGCTGCTCGGTCCCTCAGGGATGTGCCGGGGCAGCAGGATCCTTTCCCACTGCAGGAGAGGTTCCCTGCTCTGCCCAAGTCACAGCACCTGGGCAATGCCTCTGGGTCTTCTGGGGAGCCATGGGAAGGGAGGGAAGAGGGAATGACTGCTGGGAGGTGGGGGTGTGAGGGATGACAGGGACATTTCTTAGAAAACCTTGCTCAGCCTCTGCGAGGAGGGGCTGACAGAAGCCCCTGATGGATTATCCTGGAGAGCCAAACCTTGCCCCGTATTATATGGTTTTCATCACAAACATAAATGTACTTGGTATAAAACAGAAGGTCAGGAAGGTTTAAGACATGGTATATGAGAAAACATTTTCCAGATTTCAGCTTCCTCCAAGGTAATATGCAAGTGTAATTAAAACAGAACCTGGAAATATAGAGTACAGTGCCCTATTGAAAGTGTGTTGTGTGAGCTGAACTCCCTTCATTGATAGTTTTCCAAAACACACAGCTGCAATAATCTTTATCCAGGAGAAGGGAATAAATTAAGTCTGAACACCTCAGCATATAGTGCAGTACAGTGTGGAGCCCTGCACCCCGGGTAACCCCTGAGCACTCATGGAAAGCCGGGGAGGCGCGGCTGGAAAACCTCGCGGAGCAGCGAACACTTCCCTCTTCAGAAAGTGCTCAGATGGGAAGAAAAGCTCCTGAAGCAGAGGCGACCTAAGCACTGGGATGGCTTGTTTCAGGAGAGGTCTGCTCAAGTCGTTGAGGCTCTGCAGTGGCAGGAGGCCAAAGCACACTCCAGGTTTGACAGGTGGGGAGGGAAACGTCCCGGGCTTGCCCCAGCACACAGCCAGCACTGATGGCAGCCCCAGCGAGCAAACAGGGCTGGAGCACATTTAACAGTAGCAGCAGCCACAAGGATACAGGAGCTTGGAAAAAGTAATCAGGTCCTATTTCTGCTTCCCCTGAACAGTTCAGTGCTGGAGTTCAGGTTTACTTGCTTGGCTTCACCAAGCGCAGTGAGGAGCAGCGTGAGGAGCCTGATCTGCTTCACGTCTGCTTTTCCTCCTGCAGCACTGCAGGAGAGGGGGAACTCCCTCTGGAGACCAGAGAAAGGGCCACTGTGCACCCCTAGCCAAGGAATTCCAGACCAGGGAATTGATCTCCCTTCTAGGGAGACCCTTCTAGGTCCATAACACATTGTAAGGGCTGTAATTCATTGAAAACATCTCTAATTGTCATATCTTTAAATGGCATTTCTCCTGGGAAGCAGCAGTAGCAAATGCAGGGACACTGACACTCCAAGCTGGCCATTCACTCTTGAGGAGAGGACTGAGGATCTTTAAGTTGCTACAAAAATAGTTTCCATCACAAGTCTGTTTTCTGCTTGTAATGTCACCTTGAGGGTTCACTTGGTCTCCAAGTGTCTGGATTCACTCTGCATGCAAAGGAGAAGAACTTAGTGACAATGAAGAATGACAAATTCATTATAAACTACCAGATCAACCTTAGAAGTGCCATTTTCCTTCAGCAGACTGCCAGAGCTAGAAATCCAGCAGAACCTGGTCTTCCCTCTGAGGGGAAAATCCCATTCTGGTGGAAAAATTCCAAAAAAAATCCACTGCATTTCTGGAACTGGCAGGTCAGGTAAGAGCAGTGCAGAGCCCTCCAGGTAAGATCTGCAAGAAGTCAATCCACGTATTCCAGGACTCCAAGGGCTGATACCACTGCTCTGCACCTCAGGTCCCAAAAGGGTGTGTGAGCCAGGCAGTGGGGCCAGACCTGCCCGTGGCTCCCCTAGGACACCCAAGGCCCCTCAGCCCCTGGAGCAGCGAGCCCTGGGCTGCACAGACACTCCAGCAGCTGCAGGGCCAGCTGGTAGGCTTGCAGTGTTGGCACTGAACCAGAGTTAATGAGACCTGCTGGACCTGAACTGAGTTTGTGCAACTGGGTTGCTCTTTATCACCATCTCCAGACGCTCCTGGAATACCCAGGTGGGCTGGTTTCCCTCTCCTTATCTGGAGTGCCCCGGCCCCGTGTCCCAGGTAACATGGAGAGATCCTGTTCCCTCACATGATCCTTTGACTTTTCTTCTGCAGAAGCAGGAGCAGGTGGTTAAGAAGGAAAAATAATATAATTTAAAATCTGCACTTAGACAGGAATCCTAGTCTGAGCAGAGGAAGATTGAAGTTGAAAGTACTTTGTGTGCTTGTTTTTCAGGAGGGTGTTTCCCCCAGCAAAGGTTGGGATAACAGTGTCTTATCAAGTTGATTTTGGTTCTTCATGTGACTGAGAAGAGAAAAATGGAAGTTGTTATGGGACTTTATGTATTCAGCATATTTCAAAACAGTTGATTAACCTGCATAGTTATGTTTTAGATTATAAAAACACAGCCTTACATAAGAATGACCAGTCTGCTTTCCTGTATGCAAGTGGAAAAGTCATGTTCTGTGGCAACATCTGAAATAAAATTATGTGCTGATGGGGAATTGGGAAGACAGCAGCATCAAATATTCTTAAATGCCTTTCTTTAAATTTATTAAAGATTTTGTCAAAAGTCAAAAAAAGAAATAGAATTGTAGGAACCACCACTGGGCCAGCCTGGGAAAGGTGCAATGGGGATGTACTCTCAGGAGCACAGAGCCCAAGGAGCTCTGGGCAGGGCATGGAGAGTCCTTTGAAAGTGGGCAGGAAGACACAGGTTAAAACAACACACAGAAAATCTGTTTCCTGACCAGTGGCACAGAAGGAGCCTGAAGGTGCCTGTTCCTGGAGTCTGAACAGAGGAAAATCCAAGTAAGATTCCAGCTTGGCAGATCAGGCAGTGCTCTCACTGTGCACAATTTTGGGGTGCAGCCCCTTTGTCTTTCAGCACTGACTTGACCCCTCTGCAAGGCACAAGTGTTCCTCAAGGCAGGGATAAGCAGAGGCCACACAGGCCCTGGACTGCTGGTCACTGCACTGTCTGTATTTCTGACAGTACATTCATAGAATCCCAGACTGGTTTGGGTTGGAAGGGACCTTAAAGATCATCCAGTCCCACCCCCTGCATGGGCAGGGACACCTCCCACCAGCCCAGGCTGCTCCAAGCCCCATCCAACCTGCCCTTCAACACTGCCAGGGATGGGGCAGCCACAGCTTCCCTGGGCAACCTGGGCCGGGGTCTCAACAGGCTCATAGTGAAGAATTTCCTTCTCATGTCCAACCTAAATCTCCTTCTTCCATTTTTAATCCATTCTTCCTTGTCCTATCCCTCCCTGCCCTTGTCCCAAGCCCCTCCCCAGATTTCCTGGAGCCCCTTCAGGCACTGGAAGGTGCTCTAAGGTCTCCCTGGAGCCTTCTCTTCTCCAGGCTGAACACCCCAACTCTCCCAGCCTGGCTCCAGAGCAGAGCTGCTCCAGCCCTTTGGTCAACAGGTCTATACCTTTCCTGTGCTGAGGGCTCCAGAGCTGGACACAGCAGTCCATTTGGGGTCTCACCAGAGCAGAGGGGTAGAATCATCTCCCTGGCCCTGCTGGCCACACTTCTTTTGGTGCAGTTAGAAGGTGTCTGCTATTGTGGACAGGCTACGTCACAGCAGTGATTCCTCTGCTGGGCACACAAGTCTTTCCTCTGTACCACTACACACTGTAGGGGGTCACAGTCACAGAGACATCAGCGTTGGAAGGGACCTCTGGAGATCATCTAGCCCAACCCCTTGTTGGAGCAGGGTCACCTCCAGCAGATGGCACAGGAACAGGTCCAGACAGGATAGGAAAGTCTCCAGAGAAAAAGACCTCACAAACTCTCTAGGCAGCCTGTCCCAGGGCTCTGTCACCCTCACAGTAAATAAGTTTTGACTCATGTTTAGCCTGACCCTCCTCAGCTCCATCTTGTGCACGTTGCCCCTTGTCCTGTCACAGGACACTGTGAAGAAGAGACTGGTCCCATCCTCTTGACTTCCCCTGTAGATATTTATAAGCATTTATGGGATCCTCCCTCAGTCTCCTGGTCTCCAGGCTAAGCAGATGTGAGTTTCATTGCTTTTAATGACTCTGTCTCAGGAATGGCAAAGGGGAGGCTTCAGAACAGTTTAATCATTCTCCTCCGTTGCCTTCTCACACAAATATTGACTCTTCAGGATGGTATTTAATATTGCTTTGAGTCTGAATACATGGAGGGCAGCTAAAAAGAGCAAGAGGCAGGGCTTTTGAAGCTTTAACCTTCCTCCCCAGGATCAGCTGCAGAAGTGAAACAGAACCTAACCCTGCCAGGGACCCGCAGTTCCCTGCGCTGCTCAACATCCAGCCCTGCATCAGGGCAACTCCTTCCCCAAACACGTTGTCAGAGACAGTTAAACCTCCACCAGCAGATACCTGTGCTGAGCCAGAGCATCTCAGCAAAGCCCGACTGAAGGCTCAGGGGCTCGGGATGCCTGTGGAAGGGAAGTCCAAGCAGGTGATTCAACCGGCCCCCTGAGGTCTGACATTTAAGAACATATAAAAGGTTTCTAAGGACTACTGTGGAGTTTCAGAACCATTAAAGCAGCTGCTACTGCCCTCTTGAGAAGCTGACATCCCAGTAAACATGCTGGGAAAGAGAGGAGTAGAGTATTACAGGTCCCCAGGCCCTTGCAGGCAGCGCTGCTGCCGGAGGAGCAGCCTCCTCTCCTCCCCGGCTGCTCCCGCTCACACCTGCACCAGCCTCCCGTGGGTGAGGTGATGGGACGGGATCCAGGCCCAGCCCAGCCCGGCACAACTCGCCAGCTCCTGCCAGCCCGCCGGGACCTGCCCGGGGTCACC